GCGTGTTTCTGCATTTTTAGTCTTATTACATATTAGTTGTGGCGACGGCCTTGGGAGCTGCTGCATCAGCAGCCAATAGAACGCAGCGTCAGGCTACAGACTGTACATAAAGGATGGCCGTGTCAGCACTGAGGATGTTAGCAGGCTGGTTCTCAGCACTGATTAGCAGCTACGCTGCCTGAGTCAGCATCAGCTGGTAACGTAGCGTGCTGCAGTTAAAGCGTGCTCAGCAGCATGACATCATGACGGCTGCCTCGCCGCGCTTTATCCGCCTAGGAATGTTTGACTGGTCCTAAAATTGGGAATCTGTCCAATTTTCCTCTGTTCAGGTGTGAGAAACGAATCCCCACGGCACAGACACGTGCTCGCAGCTGCTCTCAAACACACAGCTGAGTGTGCATCACGTCACCCACACATCAGACTTACCGGCAGCAATCAGGACGTCTTCTTTAGTACGGCGAGGACATCCTGAAAAACACAAAGAAACAGAAAACAGTGATTAGCACTGACGACGTGTCTCTGCAGCGGCGTGCTGACGGCGAGGAGCCGTGACCTTCAAACAAACCGCGCTGTCAGCTGAAAACGTTCAAACGCAGCGATAAACACGATAACGTGTAACACGACCCAGCTGCAGGTTAGAAAGGTGAAAGGTCAGAGAGCGCACGGCCGCTAATGTGACAACCCCGGCGTTCGTGCCTCCTCCTCAACACTCGCATCACGGCGTCGATCGCTCGCCTGCTTCTCTGTAATACCTGCAGAGCAGCAGCCGTCGTTACACCTGACGCGCTTTAATCGCTGCTGTGATTCTGACTCTCGATAAAGACTCGCTCGTCTCAGCAGCACGTCAGCAGCGCCAACGCACGAGAAACAGACCGCTGATGACTCACACACCCCACTCCCACGCTGGCCTTGGAAAACATCGAAGACCTGCAACATCATGCGACCTCAGGAGTACTCAGGGAGTCGAGATTTCTCGGAGTAAACATCAGCGACTCAACAAAGAAAATACTTTTTGGTTGAATCGCTGAATCTTATCACA